TTTTTTTCCCCCCCCCCCCCCCCCCCCCCCAGATCCGAACACCGTCCCTATTCACTGTTCTTTGATGCTCCTAGCACCTCACTACTGTAATAAAGGCGTTGTCCCACTTGCCCAATAGTGGTCACTGTGGTTGCCTCTCCTTTCTCTCACCAGCATTCAAATAAAGCGATACTGTATTTGGATTGACCTAAATGCCATGAGATACGTCTCTGATTATTTGAAGCCCAAACCTATAAACATTCTATTAAAAAACAAGGAGATGGGAGACGGAATCATATTAGGACTGTTTGGAACACTGTCTGTCAACAACACAACCAGCTTGCTGTTCATCACCCTGCTGCCACATGCTAAACTATGCTTTTCACAACATGCTTCTATCAAGAGCATCTTAACCTGAGTGCATTTTCAGAACAAATGGCTTCAGCAGGCACCGAGCGCCACACCTGCACCGCATCAGCACCCTGATCAACCTAACTTCTTGTCAGAAGAAGACAGAAAATGGCTTGGCTTGCATCGTGTGGTTTGCAGTTCCACAACAGTTTCATATCCCTCCATCAGGCATGCAGGACCCACCCGCAACCCGTCACCACTTGTGATAGCCAAGTAGCAATTTGGATTATTTTGTCATTGATGGCTAAGCTTTATATGAGAGGGTAGTTTGTATGTATATGAATGTGTGTGTGTATGCATGCATGTCATGTGACTGTTACACAACTTTCATCTCCTCAGTAACTCACACTCAGCTAACTATTGAGCTCAAACAGATTCTCCTGAGCTGTGTTCAAATCATGTAAATTTAAAGGATAAGTTCACACTTTTTCATCTGTCTCAAAACAGTACTCTAATGCCCATACTGGATAAACACAGAAACCGTTTTCCCATTCATCATACGAGCTGTGAAGGGATCCCTTCCTAACACCAGTGTAAGTGATGGGGGACAAAATCTAAAATCCTCATTCAAAAACTATGAAATTTGTAAGTATACTAATCCAGCAGCTATGGATTAATCATGATTAAGAACATTACTGGCACCTGTATACACTGTATGACATTTCTCAAGATATTTTGCTGAAATGACATTTCCATTTAGCCTTTCCAGCTCCATAGATTCAATAGATAGAAGCCTAATTTTGGTAGAACCCTACAGTCTGGCTACTTAAACAATTTCACACACTGAAATCAGGTCTTATTAGCAGGAAAATTTGGCTCTGTTTAATTCAGCATCTCCACACTAGTTCTTACGCATGTACAGTCCACACCCACACACTTGCACAGCTCTTGCCAGTTTGGCATGCATCAAAGTGGGTCTGTTAGTGGGGGTCTCCATTATTGACCACACCTGCCCGCTCTCGTTCAAGTATCCTTCTTGTGTGTAGCGCCGCGATCAGGTGTGTCAACTCAACAGCCTCATGGGTCTTAGAAAAGTCTTTCAGTTTGTGTGAGCAGATGAGAGGAAGTAGCCAAATAGCTCCACTAATGACTTTCTTCTTAAGCCTAGAATTACTGTCACTACCCAATGACAATTTCCCCCCACAATGGCAAAAGTTTCCAATTCTATTAACTTTTATCTGTCTGAAAAGTGTGGCAGTAATTAGGGTTAATTGGGGTGTTGAGCTGAATGCGGGCTGCAGATAACCTTCAAGCCTCTTTGTACTTCTTGGTTTATGATTGCCATGATAGCTGACACAGCCTTCTCCTCCATCCTTGCTTACTGAATTTGGTTTTGCCTGCGCTCCTTTTAATTTGCTGTGGCAGCTGCATCTCGATGGAGGAATTAGTAGTGGCATGGAAGGCTGTCAAGTAGGAGTAGGTAAGACTGTGGCTTTGCACGAATGAACAAAGCAGGAGAGCAATCTCCCTGATCGATTACAGAAGTACACGAAAAAGCCTCCCTTTGACTTTCAAGCATGCATGTTGTTGCCAAAACGTTGGTCAACAAAAGGAGGATGAATATGGAAGATGCTGAATGAGGGTGCAATTAAAAATAGCCTGCAGAGACAGTGAATGCTTGGACATGAGGACCCCCCCCCGTTCTGCCCACTACCACGATTTTTTTCTACGAGTAGAATATTCTCAAAGTGAATAGCAGAGGAGCTATGAAGAACATTCACCTGCCCCCAAAGAATGTTCAATATTTGATTGATTTATTTATTTTTGGGCTGCCACTTCCTTGTCTGGGCTCTGGTTTTCAGTGAACACCTAATGGAATGGAAGAAAGAAGGGAGAAATCATACTATCAATCCATGAACAAAGTCACAACGGATCCACAGTACCTTGAACCTCAGAGAAGAGGCTTGATGGAATATAAGTTGCTGAATAGGAGAAGAGAAGCACAAGAAACAAAACAGAAATTAATCTGAGGGTGACACCGAATCATGGTCTGAAATCACTAAATGCCACTTCTAAAATGGCACTTTGAGCAATTTACCTACTGAAGCAAATGTGAAAGGCTGAAAGCAAAGCATAGCCTGCCCTCCTCTCTGGGGTTTAAGTAGGGGAGTTTAAGACAAAGTGCTGGACTGAGCCCTTGTTCACAGAGTCCATTCACAGATGAAGAAGATGCGCTGGAGGGATACCTGCGGCCCACTTGAAGCTGTTTCAAGGACACTTTTGTTGGACTAAATGAAGTTAATTTGAATCCTTCCCAACCACCCCCCCAACCACCCACCATTAGAAGCTGTTCCTCTAATTTGTTCAAGAGCCATTTCGCAAGGAAAGACACTGTCAGAGGAAAAAATGTGCTGTCTCCGCAGCAGCTTAAAAGAAATTATTTCTTCACTCTGTAATCCTCAGCCCCAGTGGCTCTCTTTTGATTATATTGTCACATCTTAAAATACTTCCACAGGGACTGATTCTTTTGCCCATTGTACTCGTCAAACTAAACGAGTGTTAGATGTAGTTTATTAGCTAAAGATCCTTGCGGTGGATGTGGCAGTACGGTTACATCATGTGTAATCTCATAAAATGACAAGTGTGCCACAAAAGCCCATAAATGTGAGTCATTCTCCTAACCGATTTTTCTGGAGGAATTCAAACTACCCTGGTCTCATGTCTTCTGAACAGTACCGAATCATTTGCATAATCTATAGTTAACCTTGTCCAGGATTTGATCATCTCATCTGACATTGCTCTGACAACCATATCTGACTCATTTCCAGTAACTAAGGAAGATGGGAGCAGGGTTCAGGCCCTCCTGACTCTTATCTCAACCTGACGCTGGTCTCATTCTCAGGTACTGGAACGCTGTTAGCAGGAGCTGCCTCACTGCTCTGTCTCGGTGGAAGGTGTCATAGAAAAGTCTTAGAAAGGTACTGACGTCTATGCCTCGGAACGATAGGTGAGGATTTTCTGTTCATGATACCAAGAGTATCAAAGTTGAAAATTATTCTATAAAAAGATCTGCTTCTTTCGGTATAATGCCCATAATTTATTAGATATAGCAGATAGATAAGTACTGCATATAACCTAATTAAACAGGACTATAACCCATGGTATATGGCATTTTAGACTTGGCACGCTACACAAAATTAGCTGCAATTAATAAGTCTATCGACAGAAGATGAATTAAGGACTATTGTGATAACTGATTAATCGCGATAGTAATTTTTAAGCAAAATGCCAAACATTTGCTGTTTCCAGCTTCTCATACACACACACACACATATATATATATATGTATGTATATGTTTTCTGGGCTGTTGGTCAGACGAAACAAGACATTTGGCCTTGGGGAATTAGAACAGGCTTTTTTTACATCATTTTATAGAAAAAATGATTAATTGATGATGAAAATCATAAGCCTCAAATTTTGAAAGTGTTCTCCCTTTCTCTATTCTCATTTCCCAAGGGAAGGGTAAAGTCATAATGTTTTAAAATCATCAAGCCATAACTGAAGTTGAAATGTGCAAATGGAGACGGCCATGTGTGGTAGCATCAATATATGAAAACTGGGTGATGTGTGGTCATGGTGCTGAGCACTATTGTGCCCTGACCTCTAAATAAATCTCATTATGCCCATCCTTCCCCTAATCATCTGTGCCTTGTTCTTGTCTGTCTGTCCAGGTATCTGCTGCCAGTGACCTCCCAGTTCATCATGAAGGAGCCTCCGTCCAGCTTTGGCCGCATTTCCTCGGCCATGCCAAGCTCCCGCAGCCTTTTCACCACCAGGATGGGCCACTTCTGAGGTCACCATGGAAACCCCGAGTTTTGACCTCAACCTCCCTCCCCTGACTCTCACTCAGCCAAACTCTGATCTCAGCAATCCAGATATGGATGTGATTTCGGGGCAGCTCTTAACACTGGACAGAGCCTCACTCGTGGTCAAATCGCCTTGCTGAAGATCGACAGGGAAAGGCTGTCCGATATGGGATTGCTAAAGGGCCTTGTTCAGTTTAATTTTGTTTGGCCCTGCTCAGACCAGCGAACCCTGGATCCCTCCTTTTAGCTCTAGTAACGCCAGACAATGGGCTAACCCTCTTTTCTCACTGTAACTGCTGTATAATACCTACTCACTGTACAGTTACAGTACAAGTCAGTACTGTAAAAGGAAAGAATAATAAATACTAAACAATGCAATGATTATTTATTTATGTACTTATTTATTTTGTAAGGTATTCCATGAATGCAGTGAATGCTAATGCAGAATGCACATATGGAATGATATCAACAAAGCTACCCCTTGTTTGAGAAAGTGGATGTTAAAAACTACAAAAAGCTTATTTTTGTTGGCTGCAATCAGTTGTTCTATTTCTATATTTTGAATTTAATTTATTTCATAACTTATACTAGACGATTTCTGTTTATAAACGCTTTGTCACTTTGTTTTAACTTTTGCAGTTGAGAATAACAGTATAAATGTGGTGCCCAGCAAACCCAGAATGTTTAACTTTTGAATGCTAATGCTTCATGTTTTACCTGTGTGATGTTTAGTGCAGTACTATTAAGCGACACAATGTTTAGAATGTCGGTGTAGTAAAGCCGAGCCTCTTTGCCTCTTAGGGAATGAGCTGATTTTGATGCCACAGTGCGAAGAGCCAAACTTAAGTCTCAGAGAGCACCCACTTTCTAATATATGCACTTTGCAGTTTGTCAAGAAACAGAAAGTGGGTGCACATTACAGTAGTGTTTGCATGCCTAGGTTTGATCCCCTCACCCAGATGTAGTGGTTAGACAGAGGAGCTGAATATACTTGAAGTTTTGTGTTGTCATTAATTATTGTGTCTTTATATCAGCAGCTCTTGGATGAAGACCCATCACGTTTAGATTTATCTCTGGTATGAACATATTAAGGTTAATGAGGATATGTTGCATCAGTAAGAGATTGTGCAGCGCATTGAATCACTCAAATCAGGCCATACAGTATGTCCTGTACTGTAAAAGCAGTGATTTACCTTGAGATGAGCAGCTACAGCTTTTGTTCCTCACCGCACTGTAGGTGTAAGTGCCAGGAATATTTTGGATGTGCCAATAATACGCACGTCGACTTCACGTGTTCATTTGGTTTTATTTGAAGTTAATGTCATAAAACTACTGTAGGACCTCATTTTAATACAGTATTAAATGTTTATAGGGAGAAATGCAGTGTGGTATATTTAGTAGTTTACTTGGCTCTCTGCACTACCCCATGGGATGATACATAGACTAAACTTTTAAAGATGGTATTTAGTCAGCAGACAGATAAATACAGTACCCTGTACATTTTTCTAACACCAATTTTGACTAAGATGTATAACAGCAAAGCTGTGCTAAATCTGCTCCAATTGAATTCTCCCTATACACTGAGCATTAAGTGAATGAACACAATGCCAAATATTTTTATTTTGCCTGATTTTATTTGTTATTTAAGACAACTTTTCATTGGCGTTACAAGGTATTTTTAATTTTACACAGCAATAAAATGTTTTAAGCAAACCTGTTTCAGCTGTTTGTTAGTTTTGCTAATTGGAAGTCAGTGGTCCACAATCTCTCTTTTTACACAGCGGACTGTTTTTATAATGGCAGAGAGCAATCCACCATGAAACTATCTTGTGAAACTGAATAATAAGTCTTGATATGAAGTAGAAAATTACAGCGAGAGAGACAGAAAACGGGAATGCATTTCTGAAAGGACCAGCAAAAAACAAACTAAAACTACATTTTTCTTATTTCTATTTTTGTCTTGTTTGGGAAAGGGGGGGGTCCATTGCTATCAATGGACTCCTGACAGTGTTGATAGACAAGAAACAAGGGCAGCCAGAGGGACAGGTACTAGATATACAACAAAGGTGCCTGGCTAGAGTGACTGTAGTTATATCATAGTTGTCTTAACCATTTAGCCACCAGGACATTGACATTATTAACATACTAATTAAAGATTAATCTAAGACTTGATGTATTGTTGATTGGCTATGTGACAAAGAATGATCCAAATATCCAACACATACAGCACCAGGTACAATATTCTACTGTATAAAGTCAAATTTAATCTTTGCTTTCATTTTCACTGCGTTCTTTTTTTAAACAATTAACCGAGATAGTATCAATGGAAGTAGGAGCTATGAAACAAATTGGCAAAATCAAGTGGCACTAATTACACAACACTGAATTTGCTCTAAGTGCTGTGGAGCTCTGATAAGCATTACTTGAGCAGCTTTGAAGCTATCTGGGTCAACCTTGGGGTGATATCACATTTCACAGCAGAGACCCCTGTGGACAGGTGACACTCCTGACCCGTCACTTGCCTCAGAAATGAGAGTGTGTACCCAGCAGCCCTTTCTTGTTCTATCTTGACCTGAAAGCTGCCCTGCATGGGTGTGTGTACACAGGAGAAGAATGGAGTCAGTTTTATTTAGACGAGTAATGGCAGTGTGGCGTTCTGATTCCTGTGACCTCTCCACCCCTCCATCCCGCTTCTCTCTCCTCTCCCTGCCTCTTTCTGTCAGCAGAAGAGGTGCAGGGCATGACCTTGAGGTTCTCCGGCCTCCACAACCAGACAAGAGCAGAGGCTGACAGTCTGGTGCAATGAGCCAGGTGCACTGTCCAAAAATATTTCCCCCAGCAGTGGGGCCACACTATTCTGTCCTGGCCCTTCTATTCGTTACTCTATCCCTTTCTCCCGTCCCTGTGCATGGGCCAGGCAGCTTTGCAGGGAAAACCCAGTTTCAGGGCCCTAAGCTGGTCTCTCTAGCTGAAAGAGTAAAAAGCCAAATGGGAGCTGTGTGAGGGGTGAATGGTTCAGATGAGATAAGGAAACACACATCCACACACACCCTTGCAAAACAGAGATGGCCAGGCTTCAAAAATCTGTTCTTTTTTTTTTGCTCAATCCACCATTTCAAATGACATGGAGGGAAAAGAGCAGTGTGATTTGTTCTGTAATTATGACTGCCTGAGTGCGGTGTCCAGAGGCATAGCTGCCCTCTTTTTCCTTTCTAGCGAAGCTTTAAGAGTGGAGCCTGTAGTGCTTTAAAATGACAAAAGTGACCTTTCTTATCAGACAAATTTTGCCTGTGTATGGAAGAGTCTGTGTGTGTGGATTATGGATCTATCCTGTCCACTGTGTGTAATGGTAATGTGCAGTGTTCTATGTGTGTGTAGAGCATGTTCCTGTATGGTCACTGCTGTTTTATTAGTTTTTTGAGCCTCAGACCTGCCTCTGTGTTCTGACATTCGCGTGTTTGATGCATATTATCAAAGGCACACATTCAGCAACATTCAGCAACACCCGCGGTAATACATGATCTCTGCTGCCCTGTTTACAACATCTTCTCACTCAGCAAGCGTCCTGCCAGTCACTGACATAAACCAACAGCTAAACACATGCACACCAAGGAGCCTGGATGGTGTTCACTCAGCCTGTCAAAGCAGCTCATTCAGCTTATTTACTGTACATGTATTTCTGTTACTCTGCAGCACATTTGCTTTTCCCAAGCACAGTCTTTAATTTCATATATTTTACTAATGAGCAGAAATTTCAAATTACTAAAATAACAAAATTGTTTATTCACATAGTGGCCACAGTTGATTTCAACTACAGTATATTCATAATGTTATTAAGGGACAGAGCTTAAATAAAATAAGAGCTGTGCTGTTGGACTAGTGATAAAATCATTAATCAATTTGATAGTCAAATAAAAACACAACTTTCATAATAAATTAATTGTTCAAGTAAAAAGGGCAAATACTCACTGGTTAATTAAATGTGTTTTTGATAATCAGTTAAACATGTTTTTCAATATTTGAGTTTGTTGGATCTTCAGTATGTGAGTGAAATGGTTTCAACACCTCTCACTGTGTATTTAGCCTGCCTACCCTTGGTTTGCCCTGTTTGGATTTTAACAGTAAGCCAAAGTTGATTTGCTGTGCCCGAGTGCGAGTCCTCCTGTGTTTTCTGCTTTGATGCCCCACATCTTTTTTTACTCTGTTTATCAGGGGGATAGCTGTGCTGAGTATGCATGTATTTGCAGCTCTGCTTTGTTTCACATTCACATATTAACACAGTTTCACACCTGGGAGCTGTGCGTTGACCACTGGATGCTGTTGGCGGCATAGGGGTCACATGACTTCTCACGGGTGGTTGCTTGAAGAGGGAAGCGAGTTACTCATTCACCTTCCCCACCAGAGTTTTACATACAGTACATGCACACTGTTGTTATTAGGATGCTCATCAACATAATGCATTCCTTAACATCAGGCATCATAACTTAATCTTTAGCCCAGAAAGCAAGTATCAACCCCCACACACTGGTATAAAGGTGTGAGGACCATCCAAAATGTCCTCACATTGCCAATATGTTCTCACAAGGATGATTTAGAGAAAATGTGTTCACACAACCATAGAAAGACACACACACATTTATACAGAGGCACATATAAATTTAAACCAGTGACCTTCTACCTATAGATCTACTTCACTAAGCTTTATGGACCCGTCCACCCTGGCTGGGCATACCTGTATGCAGAGCCACTGAATCAGGCTACACTGCACCACTTCCAAATGTTAACCTTGGTTTCAACACTCAAGGAGTCTCCTACACTTTGTTCCAGCCACAGGGGGTTATAGATGAGCACAGTTCTGCATATGGCCATCATTCACAGCCCCAGGCTCCCCCTGAGTGTGTGTCTTGAGTGTGTGTAACAAATGGAGCCGAGCAGTAAAGGTATTAATGTGAGGGAACAAGCCCTGTGGTGGAAGTACAGCAGAAGTCACTTTCTCTCCCATCTGGCCCCTAACAAGATGGAAAGCAGCAGGCAGGTGTGAGCGGTGGTCTGCACCTCCACTGGCTGTATTAGCACTTCTGATGGGACAGAAGAGAGAAGGACGATCTTCGACGTAGGCTGTCACTCTCTCACCTCTTTTTTTCCCCAACTCTCAATCTCTTCCCTCGTACATCTCTTTGCCTTCTCTGTGATCACTGCTCTCTGCCCTCTCACTCTGCAGTGAGTGTGAGAGGGGAGACTCACAATGAGAATAAATGAGGTGTGGGGAAGGCGTTCGGGCAGTGTGTCTGTTTGTGCGCACTTTTGTGTGTGTGTGTCTGTGTGTACATGTACCTGCCTTCTAGTGTGTTCAGATCTCTTCGTCTGCTGCAATGTAGAGCTGCGGAGCCAAAAGACCGTCCGGGGACTCTTCATCCACTTGCTGCGGAGCGCCCCAGGGGATGGATTGAGCCTTGCAGGCTGGGATATTATCAATACAGCCCCTCCAGGCAGCCTGGGAGACAGGAGACGAAGCCACTGACTCACTCTGCCTATTAGTCTGCTGCTGAGCATGGGTGTTAAGGGAAACAGCTGGTTTGACTGGAGCCTCTGCCAACCAGTCCTCCATCTTTGCCTCATCCTTACCTGCTCTGCCTCGGTCTCTCTTTTCACAGTTTCCTTCTTCTTCAACCTCAAATTTACTGTCCTCCTCTGGTTTCACTCCCTCTCTCACAGATCCCTTCATAATCTTCACACAATATTTCACTCGTTTCTTGTTCATTCCCCTTCCATTGACAGTGCCGAGGTACCCCTACATTTCCAGTGTGCTTCCCGCTCCTGTAATTACATGCCCTGCTCTTTTTTAAGAGCTTTGTTTCATGGGGAACACTTTTTTGCCCAGTCTCATGTCAGTGTCACCCCTCTGCATTTGAAATCTCTATCTCCATTTTGTTTCGGAATTGTTTGATATTCCATTTGTGCAATGAGGAGGCTGACCTTGAATTTGCATTTCTGAAAATTGCAAATGGTTGAAACCATTCATGTGTTGAATGAATGCCAAAGAACTCAACATGAGATTTCTGTGGAAATGGTTTGCCGTCATGTTTTTACCTGTGATACTGCACATTTGTTGTGAATCCACAACATTTTTTAAGTCATAATACTCTGTTCTAAAATAGGCAAAAGGTTTAATACACACGGATGACCACACATATTACAGCAGTAAATATGGACACAAAGATCTTGAGGATAAAATACTGAGATGAGCAGATACTGTCCAGCCTTTGGTAATTTTTAGCTTCCCTCTCGTTACTGCCAACTAGTCAACAGCTAGTCTTCACTTTAACCTTAATAATTCACAGAGACAGATTTCTGGCTTATCTGCTTGCAGCATGCAGAAACACTCTGAAGCCAGCAGCCATTTTGCAAACCCTCTCCGATAGTTTAAGCAGCAATAACTATAACCTCATCTTTTCCAAAAAGAAGTGGAATTTTAAAACAATGACCCTGTGAACCCTCCTAAAGCTGCAAGCTATTTCCCCTCCTACGTCTGCAATGCCTTTTTCTGTTCTGACTCCATTTCACATTTTTGTCTGTCTTTGTTACAGCTCCCCAGTTCCATTTTGTTCCAGCTATTATCCTGCAACAATAAGCTGGACACAGGTCACTGGTGTTAATGACCTCTCTGGTGATCCTTTGGGTGTTCAGGTCCACTCTAGTAAACTG